TAACATCTAACTTATGTAGATGCCAGCCTTTGATTGCTGCCACAGCAAGTAACAGTTTGACAGTGTTCATCTTGGCAACAGGAGAATAAGTATCAACAAAATCAACTCCTGCAGTTTGTGTGTACCCTTTGGCTACCAAACGTGCCTTAAACCTCTCAATCTCTCCATTAGGTAAATACTTAGTCTTGAACACCCATTTATTCCCAACTGTTGTCTGGCCATCTGGTAAATCAACAACCAACCAGGTGTGGTTGTCTATCAAAGATGTAAGTTCTTCCTTGATGGCCCTTTCCCAGTGGGGGGCTTTGATAGCCTGATTGTAAGTCTGTGGTTCTAGTACCACAGTAATGGAAAGAGAGAAGTGTCTATGAGAAGGATCTAGATGATAATAAGAAACACTGTCTTCAAGAGGGTACAATAGTTGGAGTCGTGAACAGAAAAGGTGTGAGTGAGAAGATCAATGTGATAATCAGATAGATGACTTGGTCTTTTAGTCCCTCTTTGTGCCTTTCTCAGAGCTATAGGAGGTGTTGGTGGAACAGGAGAAGAACTGGAAGGAGTTTGAGGTGAAACTGTGGGAATTTGAGGTGGAAGTGTAGTGCTCCCTTCTGATGCATCAGAATCAGAAGGGAAAGGAATGTAATCTGGATATGTTGTCTCATGAATATTATGGTCATGAGGTAAAATGGGAGTAGGTTGTGTATCTTCATACAAGTGTGAATGAGGGAGATCAGTGGTAGAAATAGGTGGTTCTGGAGGTTTTTGTGAATCTTGAAAAGGGAAACAGGACTCATTGAAGGCAACATCCCTGTTAATGAAAATTTGATGAGAATCCAAGCATATAACTTGTAACCTTTTAATGCTGAAAGAATATACTAGAAAAATAGCTCTTCGAGGTCTAGGATCAAATATGCCTTTATGATCATCCAGAATTGTTGCATATGCCATGCACACAAACACTTTCAGGTTGCTGTAATCTGGTGGGATTCCATAGGCATTCAAATGGTGACTTATCATTCAATACTGGGGTAGGAGTTCTGTTGATCAAGTAAGTAGCATGCATAACAAAATGACTCCAGAAACTGAGAGGCAATCCGGATTGAATTTTAAGTGCCCTGGCAACATTCAGCAGATGTTGATGCTTTCTTTCCACCCTGTCGTTTTGTTGTGCAGTTCTAACACAACTTAACTGATGAATTATGCCTTGATCTTGATAGAAACTAGGCATATTAAACTCAAGTCCCTGATCTGAACGAATGACTTTGATGTTCTTATTAAACTGAGTTTTCAACATTTGACAAAAAGACTGAAGCAACCCTCTTGCTTCTGATTTACTACTCATTAAGAATAACCAAGTGCATATGCTATGATCATCTACAACTGTTAAGAAGTATTTAAAACCGTAATGGGAGACCACATCCACTAGTCCCCATATGTCCACATGAATCATGTCAAAAACAGACTTACAAACTGCAGTACTTCGAGAGAAAGGTAACCTCTTCTGTTTAGAAAGTTGGCAAATCTCACAATGAGATAAAGAAGGCAAAGTAACTATACTACTTTGTTTCTGAATAGTCTTAAGTCTAGGCAAGGACAAGTAGTCTTAAGTGCCATAAATCTGATTCCTGACTTGCTTTAACTCCACAGACTTCATGGTTGGTATCCTTAGCATCTCCAGCTCCTCTTCCCGGCAGGTAGAGCCCTCTATCTACCTAGATTAAACCAATCTTCCGTTGTGAGATTAGGTCCTGGATACAATAGAAGTTTGATCAAAGAGAAGTGAGACTGGGGTTTTCTTAGTTAACTGACTAACATAAATCAAGTTGTAGGCAAAAGAGGGAACCAACAGAACGTTGGTTATGAGAAGACCACAAGGAATCTTAGCTATCCCTATATGAGTTACTCTAGCTGTTTTTCCATTAGAAAGTATCACATTCATATCAAACACTTCTTTGCTTCTTAGTAATAAACTCATATTGCAAACAATATGTTCACTAGCACCTGTATCAAGCACCCAAACTGTAGAAACAACTTGTTTAAGAGTTGTTGAGAAACAAGTGCTACCTGAATCTGAATGGCGAGGAGCACTAGCTAGTAGTCACTGAGTTTGATTGAGAAGGATGAGATGAGGTAGGGTGATGTTGGAGCAGATTATAAAGTCTATTGATCTCATCTGAAGTAAACCAAATTGTTTGTCCTTCTTGACTGGTTTTGTTTTCTGATACAGGACTTGTTGGACTTTGTGCTTGAGAATTGCTCCCAGTAGAGCTACCTCCATCTCCAGCATTCGTCTCAATTGACCCAACAAAACTCTTTCCTCCACCTTCTATTTTCTTCTTGCTCTTCAACCGATAACAGTCTTCTATCATATGATTATCCTTCTTGCAATAACGGCAAAACAGATCATGAGAAGGCTTTTTCATGTCTCTCCCAATATCTCTTCGTTCCTCTCTTCATTGGTTAGGGTAACCTGAAGAGGCAGCTAGAGCAATAGTATCACTGTTTGATTTTCCTTTTCTAGTGTCCATCTGCCTTTCCAGTTGGACAACAACCCTTTACACAACATCGATATCTAGGAGAGGATCAAGCATAAGCATCTGTGTTTTAACATGCTGGTAATTCTCATTCAACCCAAGTAGAAATCTAATCACTCTTCTCCAGTCATGATATTTCATAACAGTCTCATAAGTTTTAGTTGCACAATCACAAAAGGGAATGGGCTCATAGCTCTCATGTTCATCCCACAACAACTTCAGTGCGGTGTGGTACTGTCTTACAGTCTGATTACCCCCGTTTAGTAAGATCAACTTCTCCTGTATATTAGCGATTCTCACAGAATCACTCTGACTGAACTTAGATCTCAAATAAGTCCAAGCTTCTGCTGCAGAATTGATATTGCTCAGACTAGGCACAATATCCTCTGAAACCGAATTCCTAATCCAACACATGATTGTTCCATTGCATCTATCCCAGGTACTATGGGTAGGATCGGTATCAGGAGGTACCTGCACAGTGTCATTGATGAAACCCTACTTGTTCTTGGTGCAAAGTGTGACCTCCATTGATTCGCTCCATGGAAGGTAACTATCATCGTTGAGCTTGAAATCAATGACAGGTAAGAATGAGTTGTCGCTCGGAGCCAAGTACAGTCGGTTGCAATACGGATCTTCATATCGATGGGTTTGGGTCTGTGTACTTTTGGTGGAATCGAAAGATTGGGTTTCACCATCCACCATTGTTAACGAAGAAGAAAGGTTTTAGAAAGGAATTGAAGTGAAGGATCAGTAGCCATAACAATGCTCTGATACCATGTGAAAACTAGAAACCCAGAAGGTTGATTAAGGTTTCGTGATGAGGAAGAAGGGAATGTAGAGTCGGCATATTAGTGGAATTCGCCGTGTTGGCTTGTATTCCGTTTTCAGATAGTATATATACAGCATACAGAAGGGAAAGGTAAAGGTAAAGTAAACAAAGTCTATTTGCTGTTTATCTAACGGTAACTAACTAATTATTGAAAGAAACCAATGATTGTGTGCCATGTGTCTAATGCTAGCAGCTAATCCTCATTCCGTCCTTCTCTGCTGCATACGACGCCGCATTCACTTGTGGTGTCTCACCACTTAGCTGCTACGACGCCGTTCCAACCATCTTCGTCTCTTTCGTCTAGACTGGGTTAAAGGAAGCCATGTTCCAGTTCTGCAAACAAGCTCTGTACGAAGATCAGCAATGGCGGTTCAATCCTTCTATCTTCACATGCATGTTAGGATAAAGAGAAAAAAATATTCGGGCCGACTGGAAAGAACTTGGCGATCAACCTAATCAACACGCAGGGGGAGGTTTTTATTTTTTATTCAGACCTTCCCAAGCAGCACTTGCAGCGCCACTATGATGTTTGCGACGGAAATGCGAGCCTCTCCATTTCAGGAAATCGCAGCTCTACTAGTCGTTCATCTCAATTGATTCAAACAGAAAATGCAGAAAATCAAAATATCATTGCAAAAACAAAAAAATTCAAAGAAACAAGCTGCCGAATTGTCGCGACCGGTCCAATGCCGCGGCAATTCCAGAACATTAAATTCTAATACGATTTAATTAGCCCGTCAATTTTTTTAAAAAAGAAGAAGAGCCAAAGAACCCTCTAGACCTCAGGGCTCAGGCCTAGGGATGGCAACAAAACCCGAACCCACGGGTACCCATCCGACCCAACCCGGTCAACGCGGGTAAAATCCGTGTTGACGGGTTTTGGGCCGGGTTTGGGTTTAAACCCGTTCACTATTCACCGGGTTGGGTTGGGTTTGGGTTTAGGTAAACCCGACCCATGGGTACCCGCCTACACCCATATAATTAATTTTTTTGATATATTTAATATTCTAAACAACTAATCTTACTTATGTATGTGGAGACATGTCTATTTTTTTCTTTCTAATTGTGTAGAATGAAGTTGATGTTATCTAGTGAGAGTGAAGAAACTTAATTGAAAGGAAGAAGCTTTCAATTAATCATGTTATTTATGGATAATTTGTGATTTGCTTCAATTTTCTTGAGTTTTCTAGATTAGTGTTGAACAATTTGTATAGTTTATTTGTGATTTGCTTGAATTTTCTAGAATTGTGTTTTAAATATGGATAATTTGTATTGAGAGATTGATATTTGAATTTAATTTTGATATGAACTTGTTATTGTAAATTTTTTACGACAAAAACCCGTGGGTACCCATAAACCCGCGGATACCCAGCGGGTTCCAGTGGATTTTACCCCGAATTTTTTTCACTAATAAACCCATGGGTTTGGGTTTGTCAAAACCGACCCAACCCGACCCATTGCCATCCCTACTCAGGCGGCCGTCCCTAAACATTTACTTTGTCGTGATATCCACTACCCCACTGACGCGCGTGGAAATAGAAAGAATTTATCGATTTCTCCGGCAAACCGAAACCCCAATTTCCCCTCCTCTTCGCTGGCTCCCTTCCAATTCCTTCCAGCTTTCTCAATTCTCTTCCATGGAGCCGTTTAAACCCTCGAACCCCCTCTTATCCTTCTCATCTTTCCTCCACCAGCAATGCCTCCGCCTCGGGAACGAGCTCGCCACTAAGCTGGGCGACACCTCAAGAGCCCTATCCACCGCCTTCCCTCCGCCGGCGGCCACTGTCCGAAGGTTCCATCCGCCACTGTTCGCCTCAGTTTCTCAGGCGAACCAGCAGCAACCGCCGCCGGCGCTTAGCACCAATTACGTGGCGAAAAGGCTCACCGGCACGACTCTGTACACCGTGAGCAATACGAACAACGAGTTCGTCCTCATTTCGGATCCTGATGGAGCTAAGTCCATCGGATTGCTCTGCTTCCGCCAGGAAGACGCCGAAGCATTTCTGTCTCAGGTTAGTAATTGAGTCTTGTATTGTGCTTAGTGCCGTGTGATTTTCTAGCTTATGGTGTCTCAAGTATACGTTTCGCTATTCCAATCTGCTTTTTTGCTTTTGTTCGGTGCGAAGGTGCGATTGCGGAGAAAGGAATTAAGAAGTGCGGCGAAAGTGGTGCCTATTACTCTTGAACAGGTTAGAGCCATGTTTGCTGCATATTTTCTTGACTTGGAATTATGAACTTGGAAATGTTGTTAATCTTGAATAGGACCAAAATGATTCACTGTCCTGGAAATCGGTTGTTTAAGCTTCTGATTGTACATTTTGTAGGTCTACATGCTGAAGGTCGAAGGCATTGCATTCAGATTTTTGCCAGATCCTGTCCAAATTAAGAACGCATTGGAGGTTGGTTTTTTGTAGATTTTGCTTCTGCGGCGAAGGCATTACTTAGGCGGAAGTATGCATCAATGGAATTGAAACAGCTTACTCTATGTCAATGCTTCTGCACTTAGTTGTCCATGCAATTCCCTCATTTGGTCATTTTTATTTGAATGTTCATTTCCTTGAAGTTACCATGCTCTTATATTCCCCAAGTCTACCACGCCGTCATGTTGAAGCTGTGACTACTGACGAATAGAAGGCCCATATTAAGTTTGTTTTTGCTTGAGTATCTCGAGTTGAGAAGCAATGTGCCCTTGTTTTTTTTTTTTTTTTTTATCATAATTGTGATTGTGACACATTTTCCTTGCTTTGTAAGTTGTGGAAATTATAGATAAATGTTCATGTTTCTATATCATCTAAGTCACTAATGATGAAGACCAATCTTATGTTTACCAGCTGAAAGCTTCTGATGTAAGGAATGGTTTTGATGGAGTTCCGGTTTTCCAGGTATGTTGCTTGCCTCACTATTATTTAGCATCCCCTCTTCAGTACCAAGCATCATTAGTTAGCTTTCCCTCTTTAGTTGTAGGCCAACTGATATGATATCAACCATTTTTTGTGGATCACCAGATATTGGAAGTTTTGCACTGAATTTACTGAATCATGATTTCTTTGTTTTACTGCAAAAGGAAAGAGAGGGGGAACTTGGTATTTACATGTGCATTTTGTCTGTCTCTTTCATGATCATTACTGTGGCTTGCATTATACCTGATCAATGCAGTTTCATTATCCCTCTTATTCAGTCAGATCTTTTGGTAGTGAAGAAGAAAAACAGGCGGTTCTGCCCCATATACTTCCAAAAGGTATTCTGACCTCTTGATACCCTGTATGAGCTGTTTGCTCACTACGCATACTCTAGTAAGGTTTAAGCTATTAGTTGACAGATTTGATAATTTGTGCCTTGTGTATAGGAAGACATAGACAAGGAACTGGCAAAGGTTTCAAGGGCATCGAGAGGCGTGCCTCATAATATAATGGTATGAGAACTTGGCATCCCTTAAAAGCGTTTTGAATCTGAAGCTTTAAACATCTCAACTGCTTTATGATCTTTGTTTACTGATACCGGCATACTCATCTCCTGATTCGTCGTAGGCATTCAGTTAAGCACAAACAGCAGGTTATGTCCATGTGCTAGGTTTTAGTTGCTGTATTTGAGTCACCTTGTGCTTGTGTATTATGATTGGGGAATATATGAATCTCTAGTCTCTGCCAGTTTTAAGATATTTAGTGCAAAACTAAGTTAAACTTCATATGCTAACTCAGTTGAACTCTTGAATGACTGGCTAGCTAGGGGATCATAATAGCACTGACATGTAGGATTAATGCTCTAACGAGGATATGTGTTTTGTGAAAGTTTTTCTGCGTTCAGTTGGATGACATTTTGATGATCTCATGGTGTTTTCAAATTGAAATATCTTCTTTTGGTGCTTACTTTGCAACTCCTTCTGAATTGAGATTTGACTGTGGGGTACACCACTATGTGTGATTTTCTTTTTATCTAAGCAGGTGGGAAGCCTAGAAGATGTTCTGAGAAAAATGGAGGTAATGGATTTTTTAGTTGAATCAATGTTTTCAACGTAAAGTACTCGCGTTTTATTCACATCGACTCCATTTCTTGTGTAGACAAGTGAGAAGAACTCAGGATGGGAAGATTTGATTTTCATTCCACCTGGTAAATCCCAGTCCGAACACATTCAGGAAATAACCAAATCATAGTTGCTTGAGATTTGGCATAAACTCTCCATCGCGTAGAGCTATCAGTGAAAATCACAGCAAGAGTTTTGGCACGCGTTACCAGGCCAGTAGCTATACAGGTCAGATATTGAGACGATCTCATTATTTTCCTTTCCTTAACCCTTTTAACTAGGAGCTCAGGATGAGATTCCTTAACCTGGAGCATTCCATTTCCCAGGTGCGGCCTGGATAGCTTTGAGTTATGAGGTTCATCACGATTCGATGTTGTTTGTAGAAGGTTATGGAATGCTAACTCCCGACGGCTAACTTGTTGGAACTTGTTCCATTACTTTTTCCTAGCCTTAGAATTTGGTGACATGGAAGTTACATCGAGTTTTTGTGAGTCTGCGGGTTGATGCTTCTATTATGTTATACTTCGTTGGCAGTTTATATTATGCAAGTATACATCATGATATCTCTGCTGAAGTTTCTCTAGGGCATAGACATTCAATAAGACAGCCAGGTAACAGGAAGAACTAGAGAATGGATTTTTCCTTATCCCCATAGTAGTCCCTCCAGCTCCAAGACTCGGCCTGGCCCATTATCCAAAGGCCCACATCTTCAATTTATCTGCCATGAATAACAAAGGAGCGATAGATATTGAACCTTTAATAGAGTCTCTGATTCTTGAGTGCGAGTGCTTTGAGATGACTAGTACGATTGAGGAAGATTATATTCCTTTTCAATCGAACTTCCATGCATCTGTGGTGCCTGTGAGTAACACTCGACAGCCCTGATTGACTAGATTTCTTAGGACTTATTAGCTGCCGACAAACAAACAAAAAAAAAAAAAAAGGAGGGTAAAACCATTTGCTTCAATGGGTAAATTAGGAGGGTAAACTATTTGCTTCAATAGGTTTAAATCCATTGGATGGGTTTAAAAGGATCTTGCATGTGCTCAAAGTAGGGGTGAATGTTTGGTTCGGTTAACCAAAATGAAACCATTAGAAATCGAGACCCAAACTAGGTTGTTGTCCAAAATCGAAACCGCGAGCTTGTTGGTTTTTAACTAAGCTGTTTATGGATTTGATTTCAATCAGAAAATTTTGAAAGATAAAAAATGGCCCTTGATTGTGTATTTGTGTTAAGGTTTATTGGGGCTTCTATTGTTTTATTAACGGTTTAGGATTTTAACCGAAACTATTAAGGATGACCTTACCGGTTTTTACTCATTAAGGAAAATCGTAACATAAAATTTCATTTCGGTTAACACCAAAAAATCAAAACTGAACCACCACCTCTAGGTCAAACTAATCCAGTGAACGAAAAGTAAGTAAGAGACCTGGTTCATAAATGCAATGGTTGAAGCGGTTATCTTGAAAGGGAAAGTTTTGATACTATGTTAATATAACTTGTTTGTCTGAATAACTTTTAAAGTTGTTGGTAAGAGTTAAATTACTAAAGTTATATATTTTATTTTACAAAAACATAGATAAAATTAGGGCTGGCTATTTGGTCTCGGACTGTTTGGTTTTACCCGAAACCGGACCGTATAACCCGGATCCGGACCGCACTGGGACCGGATAGCAAACAATGCAATCTCATATTCGGGCTTAGATTTGAGGTAAAACACCGGATAAGAGACCCCAAACACCTAAAATCAAGATAAAATTGGGACCGAACCGGGTCAAGATCGGACCGGATCAAGACCGGACTGTATCCAATTCAATCTTTGGTCCTTATATTCCCGAAAAGACCGGACTGGAACCGGATCAATTTGGTCCAATTTAACCGGATTGGACCGTATAGCCACCCCTAGATAAAATGCACAAAAATAACACTTTGTTTTCTCTTTGTTTCTAACCAAAGTACCTGTTGAATCCAGTAATCCTGTCAATTGGCAATAAACTTGGATACGTGATGGGGTTAAACAAAACCAAATATTGAAACCTCTTCTCTTGTGGTCGATCGTGTAAACCATGTTCACCCAATCCTGATGGCGATCATCAATCATCATCATGAATGATCATGCATTATATATGTGGGTGAGTTGTGGGAAACGTTGATATTCGATCTACTAATCAATAAACTATTGTTTGTTGCATTACTTAATCTAATATTTTATCATTGCATCCGAACATATCTGTGTTGAACCACATAAGACTAAAATACTCAAATCAAAATTATCAAATAACCGAATAAGGGTGGCAAGAAATAAATATTTCTCTTCCACATTTTGTAACGGACAAAAGCGACGTTTCATTGCTAGTAGGAGGCTGACTGTCCAACCGAAGAAAGTTGGTGTGGGAAGGTTCAGCTGCCTTTGCCTGCCTTATCCTCCCTCCCTTTCCTTGCCTCTAATCCTAAGATTCCACCCACATTATCACCATTCACCATACCATTCCTCAACCAATATACAAATTTCACATTTCAATTAAACCGACCAAACGTTTGAATCAGAGTACCTCAACGACTACATAATTTGATCTTCTCGACCCAGTTAATGTTATCGCTAAAAAAAAAAAATTTAAACAAATTGAATCCACATCAAACTAAATGGGGTCGACCCGAGTCTATTCTAATATTAATCTTTCATGCCCTTTATCTTGATTGGATTCGATTTCATCCTATCCACACTCCTAATTTTATGTTTATGTCTCCTGGGCCATAGGTAAACCAAAGCTTGGAGAATTAGTGCTGGCTATTTGGTCCGGATTTTTTGGTTTTATTTGAAATTGGATCGTATAATCCGGACCGAGACCGGACCGGAACCGGATAGCAAACAATCCAATCTAATTTTCGGGCCTAGATTTGAGGTAAAAAAACAGTTTGAGACCGAACCGAAAACCGGATAAGAGAGCCCAACACCAAAAAATTTAACCTCCTCCCCCTTTCAGACCATAGGCCACTAAAATTCCCCCCTAAGAACACTCAAATTTTCACAAGCTCAATCTAAAATCAAGACCGAATTGGGACCGGACCGGACTGTATCCAATCCAATCTTTAGTCCTTATATTCTCGAAAAGACCGTACAGGGACCGGATCAATTCGGGCCAATTTAACCGGAACGAACCGTATAGCCACCCTATAGAGAATATAATGGAATGTTAAATAGGAAATCAAAATATGTGGAAAATATAAGACGTCAAAAGGATTCTAGAATTAGTAATAAACGCCACCAATAAACATTTGGGAAACAAGTAATGTAGCAGCAGCAGCAGCAGCCTGCATAGCTCTCCAATCTCCATCTCCCTCTTTCATTCTTGGCCCGGCCAATTAGTCTTCAAGGCAAGGAAACCCACCTCATCATAAACTGCCACGTGGAACTCACCCATTGCCTCATAAACCACAAGTCTCCAGTCTCTTCCAAGCTGTCGCCTCTTATAACCACTCCCTAAATAAACCCTCCATTATATATAAACCCTCATGATCTCACCTTAAAAGTCTTACCTAGCTTTCTAGGGGGAGTTACGTTATAAAGGACATAATCTACACATAGACCTCCCCCGGCCAAACCAGTTTTTTTCCTCCAAAACAGAAGGAGAAAGAAAAAATAATGGGGGAAGGGGCGATCGGTTTTCAAAAGACGATGATGATGAAATACTACTCTTTTGTCCCTTCAAAAGCCCTACTCATTAGGCTCAACTTGGTTGCCATAGCACTCTTCCTGAGTGCCTACGCCGCTCTCGTCCTCCGCCCTTCCTCCTCCCTCTACTTTGAGAATGCCGGAGTTCTCGTCAGATGCTCTCTTCGCAACTGTCAAGGTAAGGTGAGTCTGTGCAAACATTCGCGACTATTGCTTTCTTTTATCACCCTTTTTGCGACCATTCCTTTCACTACTAATTTGACGAACTTTACTTTTTTAGATGGAAGGTGGGATCAAGATGAAGGCCGTACTAGAAGACCCACCACAACAACAACAAGGAGCGACCATCATGAACATGAAGCACTCCGGGGCCGGCACCACGAAACCCAACCGAAACGTTTCGAAGCTCGAGGTTCCCAGCTTCATGTCCTCCATCGCCGGCCACCGGCGGTCGAGGCTTAAGATCGGGATGGTGAACGCGGACGATGACGACGTCAGCGACTGGGGTGGTGTTGGGGAGGTGGTGCCGATCAAGTACGAGCGTGTCTCGCCTGAGCTGTTCAAGTGGGAGGAACTTTTCCCGGAGTGGATCGACGAGGAGGAAGAGAGCGACGTGCCGACGTGTCCCGAGGTGCCGATGCCGGATTTCGCGGCGTACGGGAACGTGGACGTGGTGGTGGCAAAAGTGCCATGCAGGTACCCGGAGGATTTGTGGGCCCGTGACGTGGCGAGGCTGCAGGTGCACCTGGTGGCGGCCAACGTGGCGGCGAGGAAAGGGCGGAGGGACTGGAGCTGGCGGACGAAAGTGGTGCTGTGGAGCAAGTGCCGGCCGATGGTGGAGCTTTTCCGGTGCGATGAGATGGTGGCGAGGGAAGGGGACTGGTGGTTCTACCAGCCGGAGATGACGAGGCTGGAGCATAAGGTTTCGCTGCCGGTTGGGTCTTGTAAGCTGTCGCTGCCGTTGTGGGCCCAAGGTAAAAACGTTTTTTCACTCTTTTTTTCTTGCCATGCAAATATGCAATGAATATTTTTACTTCAGTAATTTAGTACATAGATATTTTGTCAACGATGTTAGGGGATAGTGGTTGCTTAGTGCGGACGATAGCCATGTGGTTGTTATGGTTTTAGAAAATAAGGACGTGCCACCAAAAAATTAATGACGCCATTTCTTATATATTCGTATTAGTAAGTTAGTTAGATAAAATAATATCAATTAGTCTGGTCGTGTCTAGAGTTGGAAGTAGATTAGAGTTGGTTGAGACTTTGAGTCTGGGAGATTAATTATTAGCAGCAGCTATGCCCCATTTTCGTTTTTTGTTGTAAGTTGCACTCCATCTCACGTCTTCATTTTCCATATATTCTATGGCTCACGAGTCACTTCTCCTTCACCAAACTTTAATAATACATTTCCCCATATACCAAGTTAACAATCTTTTCAGTATTCAGACTCATATTTTTGAATTGTAGTCTAAATCTCTAGATTATAAACAATTCAAATATTATTTTCTAACTCTTCGGATTATTAATATTTTTAATTTTCATTGTTTGGTAACTCCTCCGATTGTGAACATTTAATAAAAATAATTTTTATAATTTTTGTTCAATAACATGTTTACCCTTAACCAAAAGAATCAAAATGACTAAGAATTTACTAGTATGGGTATTTAGTGGAGTAAATTAAAAAGAGAGATAAAGTAAGAAAAAACTCAATAATGAAGATATAAAATCTTTATGATTATGAGAGATTTAATATCTCTATATTTTTATAGATTTGGAAGTTCTTAAACTAAATTCAAGAATACAAAAAATAGCGAGAAAACATAAATTTCCGATTCAATAAATTTATAATGTAAATCTTTTTCTTCAAACGATCACCGGTTAAATTTTATTTATAAAAAAATTCACGATAAATTTTTTTCTTATATAATAATACTACGATGATATTTATGTTACTCCGACACACTATGTTGGAACTCGAGTGAACTCTCTACTTATTTTCTTCACCCCTATAAAAATTTGATTCATTTATTAGCTTTTTACTCCTTCATTTGGCAATTCCACAAAAAATTTCCCTTGAGTAATACGATTTATTACCATATGGGTAAAAAAGTTTAACAAAAGGTTGTAATTGATCTTTTTAACAGGCACCGACGAGGTCTACGACCTCTCCAAGATCCAAACATCAACCAAAACGGTGCGCAAAGAAGCCTACGCCACCGTCCTCCACTCCTCGGAGACCTACGTCTGCGGCGCCATCACCCTGGCCCAGTCCCTCCTCCAAACCGGTACTAAACGCGACCTCATCCTCCTCCTCGACGCCTCCATCTCCCACCCCAAACGCGCCGCACTCGCCGCCGCGGGGTGGCAGCTCCGCCTCATCACCCGCATCCGCAACCCACGCGCCGAGAAGCACTCCTACAACGAGTACAACTACAGCAAGTTCCGCCTCTGGCAGCTCACCGACTACGACAAGGTCATCTTCATCGACGCCGACATCATCGTCCTCCGCAGCCTCGACCTCCTCTTCCACTTCCCCCAGATGTCCGCCACCGGGAACGACAACTGGATCTTCAACTCCGGCATCATGGTCCTCGAGCCTTCCAACTGCACGTTCCAGATCCTAATGGACAAGCGGTCGGAGATCGTCTCCTACAACGGCGGCGACCAGGGTTTTCTCAACGAGGTTTTCGTGTGGTGGCACCGCCTCCCCAGGCGCGTGAACTACCTCAAGAACTTCTGGGCCAACACGACCAACGAGGCGACCGTGAAGAACGAGATGTTCGGGTCGGAACCCGCGAAAGTGTACTCGATCCATTACTTGGGGTTGAAGCCGTGGAATTGTTATAGGGATTATGATTGTAATTGGAATGTTGCGGATCAGAGGGTTTACGCTAGTGACGTGGCGCATGAGCGGTGGTGGAGGTTTCACGACGCCATGGATTCCGGGTTGCAGAGGTTTTGCGGGCTGAGTAAACAGAGGAAGATTGAGCTGGATTGGGATCGGCGGATGGCGAGGAAAGCTGGGTTTATTGATCAGCATTGGAAGATTAATGTCACTGATACGAGAAGGAAGCATTTGGTTTCCTGATTGCTGTGGAAGGAAAGGGGGAAGGGGGAATTCTTTTCTTTTTTTAATTACTATACTTTTTGTTTCTTTTTTTTTATCTTTTTACCGAGGGGTAATAATATTTTTACTTGTAAAATTCAGGTTGTTTTTTTTTTTTTTTTGGTTGGAGGATCTTGGTGGTGGGTTTACGGTTTATTTACTACTCTACATTTTTAATCTAGAGTATCAGTCACAAATATGTGGATTATGAAAATACAAATCTAGTTAATTTAATGATATAGCTATTCTGATAGTGTTCGAAAATAGAAAATGGATAGTAGTAGAGCAGAAAAGATCATCTTTGAGATTGTGAGGTTTGTTAATCGTACGGTCAATTTAATAACATCACATAATATTCACTAATCTGGTATGCATATTCAATTGGTAAAATTCGAATGGAAAATGATCCTTTTTATAACTAGTGTGACGATCATTTTAACCTCTATAACCTTATATATTGTCCAACTCGCTTGAACCCTCCTATGATATCACACGAGTGATGGAGCATGATCGCTAGCTAGCTAGTAGTAGTTGATAGCAAATAGTTATTGAACATATATTGAGCTTTTGAGTCCAATAATTTGATGATAAATATTAAGGATCACGTTAAACAGAAGAGAAGAACAAATGATAATGACTCGTGCTGACAACCATGATAATATTGATTTCCTTATGAAGTAATAATTGAAACCGAAGTCTTTTTTTTTTTTATGGAATTGAAACCGAAGTCTTGGAGATGAATAAACCCAATATTAGGAGAAACAAACCATCGGTTACTTAGCTCTAATCATGAGATTAAGGCAAAACCAAGACTATAATCAATGTACCCTCTGGCTGCTTTGAAGCTAAGACAAGTTGAATTTGAGGATTGGGGAAGTATGATATTACCCCAATCCTATCGCTTTCTCACTTATTAATCAGCAATTTGGTAAGTATGTCTTGTTTAAACATTTCCAGTAATTCATTCACTTTACAAAACCAAATAACAAAATCAGTAGCTGATGACTTCATTGCTTCGATAAAGAACAAAAAGATCTGAAATATGGTCAGGCCAAATTAAAATCTCTTGATATTTGGTGGGTTGTCGTTATCAATCGTCATCAAGAACAGGTACAAAAGGCAATTAGGGTGATGATCCGGGGGAAAAGGTAAAAGTATGAGTACTTGGGGAGGAGAAAAAGTGATGTAAGTGCAAAGGCAACCATGATTGGCCGAATAGGAAACAAGTCTCAAACTGGAAGTTATGATTGGGTAAAACTCATTCTAGGTGCACCTAATTATTCTAAATTCTAACACCAGACTAGCAAAAAAGAATTTCGAATCAATCATAGCCCATTTTTAATGAAGGAGGATTGGTCAATTGTGTGGAAAAAGTATGATCGTAGAGAGGTACGATAATAACTTTGTGTTAAAATCTCTTCAAATAAATCGTACCGAATTGTATGTTGGTACTTTATTTATTTATTTATTTATTTATTTTGCATCTCAGGAGGCTTTACAGCCACAAAAGAAGAAGATCAGAGGGAGGGGAGAAGTTACTAAACAAGGGAGGTTCCATCAGAATCTACAACGTCCCTGGGGAAGGCTTGTCCTCTGCCGTCATCGCTCATGATATGGTGAAGTCCTTGCGGTGGTGAGTCTAGTTCATACTTACCATAGGGATAGACGAGACTGTGCTTCGAGAGCCAGTCCGCGACTTTATTCTCTTCACAGTAAGTATGGACTAGCCTTACCACCCAATCTCGAGCTATCTTGCGTCTGATTGCTGTCAAGAGGGTCGCGTGGGGATGCACTGGGTCAGATCTCTTCTCAATGAGTTGTATAGCCATCTGTGAGTCGGATTCTAGAATGACAGCTCTGCTTCCCTCTTCCCAAGCCATATCCAGTCCATGGAAGATGCCCCACAGCCTGCTTGCATGGCCGAACAAGTTCCCAATTTAGCAACAAAGCCTTTGATCCAAAGCCCATGGTGATTCCGCAAGACCCCTCACGCGCCAGCTGGCCCTTGAGTTCCATTAGCAGCACCATCGACATTAACTTTGACCCACCCAGCTGGAAGAGGAAGCCAGATAATCTCGCGGGTAACTCGCTGGCCTGGAGCTGCTCGTCGGCCTAGAATGTCTTGAGGGGCCATCCAAGCTTTGTGCCACAATGTTGCTTTGATCTTAGTGGCTTGAGTCAGAGATGGTGGTGAGAGAGTCTTCTCAATGCCCTTAAACACCCCTTCATTCCTGTTCTTCCAGAGATTCCAAACAGCTATGTTGAAGAAAGCCTTCCAGGGGGTCTTGACATTCCTCATGGTCTCCATCTGCAAAAATTTTGTGAGCCATGGTTTGAGCTGAAGGTTGAAAAACTCATGTTGATTCTCGATGGGGAACCGTACGAGCCCAGATGAAGGCGGCTGTTGCACAGCCCTGAGAATATGGAGCGTGGTCTCCTCCTGAGAAGCACATATGTAGCAGTAGGGTGAGGATGCAATCTTTCTCTTCACAAGCTGCACGCTACTGCTGATTTTATCGTGTGCCACTACCCACATGAAACAACGCACCCTTTCTGGCACAGGAAGCTTCCAAATATCTTTCCACACCTGAGCTGTCTCGCTGGGGGCACTAGGTTGCATGAGCTGAAAGGCACTCTTTGTTGAGAAACAACCATCTGATGTGGGCTGCCAGAAAAGAACATCATCTCCCCCAACTAAAGGATCCACTGCCTGTGCTGTGATTTGTTGAGTCACTGTATCCGGGAGAAAGCTCTCGAACTTCTCTGTCAAGTCCCCACCTCGTCAACATAATCTGCCACCAAGGCGTCCCTCTCCTCCTTTGGGACTGGGCTAGTGGTCAACTCGATCAAAGGAACCTGAGAGATCCAAACATCAAACCAAAACCGGGTTAGATGGCCTCTATGAATGTTCCAGGCACAACCATTTTTCAGCAGATCTCTCGAATTAGAGATGTTGTTCCAGGTGAAGGAACTTCCCTTTATTGGTTTGATGATGTCGAGGTGCTCCCTGTTCTTCCCATACTTGGCGCGCACCAATTGAGCCCAAAGAGTCTCTTTCTCCTTCATCAGACGCCAATCGCACTTGGCTAGCATTGCCAAGTTGACCATTCTTGAGGGGCGAATACCCAAACCTCCCTGGTCTTTTGGTATAGTCAAATGCTGCCAACCCACAAGATACAAATTTTTCTTCTCTTCTGAGTCACCCCATAGGAAGCTGCGACTGACCTTATCTAGATCCTTGCAGACAGTTTTTGGCAAGAGTTCCGCCTGCATAGGATAGACAGGAATAGACGCAGCAATCGACTTAACAAGGGTAATGCGAGAGGCAAGGGAAAGATGCTTAGCTTTCCAATGAGCAAGCTTCTTCTGAATCTTGAGGATAAGATCCTGATATCTGCCTCACGTCACTCTACCATGGATGGCCATGACTCCCAAATATCTGCCTAGATACACTATGAGCGGGATTGCCATATACTCACTTAGGACCCTAGCACGTCTTTTGTGTATGTTTGCAGACACGAACATGGCGGATTTGTGGTAGTTCACCCGTTGCCCCGAGCTACTGCAGAACTCATCTAGACATTGCTTTATTATCCTGACTTGGGTTCTCCCTGCTTCTGCAAACAAAACCAGGTCATCTGCAAAAAAGAGGTGAGAAAGACCCGGACCGTCCTTCGACAATTTAAGCGGCTTCCAAAGATTGTCCCGAATGGCCTGGTCAATCTTGTTAGATAAACGCTCCATGCAAAGAACAAAAAGATAGGGGATAAGGGATCTCCCTGTCGAACTCCTCTGGTGGGAAGGATGGGTTGAGAAAGCTCTCTGTTCCAGAGCAGGCGCATCTTGTTGTTCTCCACACAGAACATAATACTGCTGATCCACGAGCTAGGGAGGCCAACTTCTTTTAGGGTGTCACGCAGGAAATCCCACCGCAACCGGTCGTACGCTTTCTCAAGGTCAATCTTGCGGACCATCCCTCATTTCTTCCCTTTTATTCTTCTTCTTCAGAGTGTGGAGGACCTCCTGGAGAACAATGATGTTATCTGTAGTCTGTCATCCCGGGATGAAGCTGCTCTGCCGGGGAGAAACCAACTTCCTCATAGCGGGCTTAAGCCAGTTGGTAATTGCCTCGGTAATAGTTTTCAGGCAGACATTGTTGAGGGAGATGGGTCTGAGCTGAGAAGCCATCTACGGGTGCTCTACTTTAGGAATAAGGACAACCGTTGAGTCGGTTATGTTCTCCGGCAGACTCCCTGCATTAAAAAACTCCAAAGCAAGGTTAATTAGAGATTTCCCCACCACCCTCCACGCCCGTTGGTAGAAAGCAGCATGGAAGCCATCGGGGCTAGGAGCTTGAAACAGTTTCATCTCGTGAACTGCCCGGAATATGTCATATGCCCGAAAAGGCCTCAGCAGAGCCACCATCTCCTCCTGGCCTAGACAGGGAAAGGCCATCCTTGGCATCGGGTCCTGGTAAATGTCATTTTCGTGCAGGTACAGAGAAGCAAAAAAGTCAAAAACCAGCATGGCCAACTCCTGAGGATCCGTGATCCACGTCCCGCTGGCCCCTTTGAGACTATCAATTTTGTTTCTGCGCCTGCGAATGACGGCCTAGTTGTGAAAGTAGCCTGTATTTTGTTCCCCTCATTGAACCCAGTTTTCTCTCGATCGCTGGAACCAGTAAAGTTCCTCTTGCTCCAGCACCTGGTCAAGCTCCATTTCGAGCTTGGATTGCAGCTTGTAAAGGCCCGGGGAAAAAGAACTGGCAACCCACTCTTGGATTCCTTGAATGCGAGCCATCAACCGTCGTTTTTTATAGAAGATATTGCCAAATGAGGATTTATTCCACTGGTTGAGATTGGTGGCCAGCTTCTCCAAAGCCACAGGAAGAGGCGCTTGTTGATCCCAATCCCCTGCAACTAGCTGATCAAAAGAGCCACTAGTTAGCCACACAGCTTCAAAACAAAAGGGATGAGAAATTGAAGGGCTAACTCCCTGATTTCCAACAGTGGTGAGGATGGGATGATGGTCTGAATGAATGCGGGGAATGTGGTTGACATTGGTGTAAGGGAAATTCGAATTCCAGAGGGAATTGCACAGGCTCCGATCGATCCGGCTGGCTTTGAAGGTGTTGGGAGTCTCCCCTCTAGTCCAAGTGTACCGAGGTCCTGAGAACCCCAGGTCGATCAGCTCCGCTTGGTTGATCCTGTCGCTGAAAGTCTTACACTTGTA